CGCGCCTCCCGCCCCTCCCCCAGCGGGGTTCCTGGGGCGCTGCGTCGGACGACCGCGGCCGCCGCCGCCTCCCGGGACCTGTCCCCCGGCCTGGGCTAGCCCCCTGGCCGGCCCGATGCAGCTTCTTCTCTCCGAGCGCGGGGGTGGTTTTCGGCCGGTGAGGCGGGCCGGACCTCGCGCCTCGGGTATGCCCTGCGGGGTGAGGAGGCCCGCGCGAGGGGCCTGCGTTCCCACCCATCCTGTCGCCGTGTTCTCTGCCGGCGTTAGGGCAGAGGCAGCCGTTCCATGCGGACGTGTTGCTGTGCTGTGTGTGTTGCATCCTGCCCACGTGGTAGGGTGTCTCTCCCCCACCCCCTCCATTTTTGCAGTTGGTGAGGAGGGAGGTCCGCGGGTGGTTTTCCTCTGTGATTTCCTCCGGGTGGCGTGGAAGGCGTCGGGGTCAGTTTGCCTTGCTGAGGCCGGCGGTGGTTAGCTGGAGGAAGCAGGAGTTGTGCTCTCTGCAATCGAGGCCAGTAGGAGACATAACAGGGCTTCTTCACTGACGCCTTTTCTCCTCTGGAGCTGCTCTTCTGCTGTTCTCTTCTGCGTAGTCCTACGGAGAGAATAAGCTCTAGCTGCTGCAGCGTCGAGGGGTATGGTTTTCACTTCTCCGTTCTGCTTTTTGTGTGTGTAGTCGGCGAAAGTTGTTCTTTTCTGTGTTGTGCAGTCCACGTCTCTGTTGTTCCTGGTTGGACTCCCGAATGAGGTGAGTTGGGCTGGCCAGGTCGTCAGAGATTGGTGGGCATCTTTTTTGTCTTTTCCTGACGTTAATTTTTTTCCTTCTGTGTTGTTTCCCAGTGAAACGGTGCATGTCGCAGAAGTGTTCCATGCATAGCTCTTCACTTGCGAGGCAGCACTCAGTAGTTTCACTGAGTCACTTATTTCGTGGGAGCTCTTTTATTACACTTTCCCTCTCTTTCTGTTGAGTATTGTTGCGCTCTGTTTTTTGAAACGTGTTTTGAGGAGTTTCTTTCCTTAATGTCTCTTCCAAATTAAGGTTTCCATCTTCCTGTGTTTTGCTCTTTTGTGCCCACACATTGCTCCCTTAATAGGGAGCAGGCACAGTAGCAGTGAGAGAAGCCTTTTATTCTTCCTAGACTTTAGCAAATATTTGTAGAAAAGTAGTAACGCCTCTTCATTTTTCTATTTGGGTAGCATATATAGATGTGATTGAAGTTTTTTAGATAAACTTGAGGATTTCTGTTTTCTTTTTTGTGTCTCTTGGAGTTGAGGTGAATCTTGGTCTTGGTTTTGTGCTGTTCAGGAGACTGGGGACTTTCTCATGCTTTTATTAGATATTTTTTGGATGGGGTCACGACACATTTATTTTGGCTCTTTTTGGTTCGTTAGTTTGGGTGAAATAAAAAAATCGTAATGTTTTGAAGCCACTTTTTAGATTCCAGAATGGCCAGCATGCTCACTTTTTCTTGATTTGCTTTTTGCATTGTGCATTCTCTTTGAGTATGTTTTTTTCCTTTTATCTGGTACAGTTGTTAGTACATTTTCCCTCCATGTAAAATAAAAATATTTAAATACAGATTCTATCTGCTTTCATCATGCTAAGTGTGGGTGGGGCAGTGGAAAATAGAGAATGTTGTTCTGATACATTCTGAGGCATGTTTTTTTAGTAAGTCAGTCAGCATTTGTGTCCTTCTGCAAAATAACAGTGCTATGTGTGAAGTAGTCTGTATGAAGAGACGCAAGAAATAAAATATGTGGTCTTTTCAAAGGCTTCAACTTCAGTTGGGGAAACAGCAGGTAACATACATCGTTCATAATTACCAAGCAACATCAAACTCCTGGTTGGGATAACAGTGTAACCAAAGTGAAAGGTATAAGTGAGATTTGATAAAGATAGGAATTTCAAAGGGGAAGAGATGTATTCTAGGAGAGTGAAAGGGTACTTGCAAAGACAGAGAAGTGACAATGTACAAAAGATATTAAGCAGCTTGATTGGCACAGGGAATCTGTATTGGTGAATAATAATAAATGAGTTGAGGATTGGTGAATGGGTATTGGTGGAGGACCTATCAAGGATATATGGTTTAGTTTGATGGGGTACCACAGTGGGTTCTCAAGAATGGGAGTAAGATGATGCATATTGTTCCTGAGGAAGGTTTTTGTATTAGCTGAGTGTCCTGGAGTGGGGAGACTGACTGGAATGCTCTTGGATAATTTTAGGAATAAGATGATGAGGGTCTGACGTAAGATAGTGATTATGGGAATAAAATAATAGCTAATGTTTATTGAGTACTTACTGTGTGCCAGGCATTGTTCTAAGCTCTTTACATGTATTTAACTCATAAAATCTTCATAATAAGATCTTCTTATTCCTACGAAGAAACTGAGTTACAGAGAGGTGGGGTAACTTGCCCCAAATCCCCTAGAGAGTAAGCAGCAGAGCTGGGATTTGAACCCAGGCAATCTGGCCTTTGAGCTTACACATTTAATCATTAAATTATACTGTCCTAAGAAAGAGTGTATAGAATATATAAGATGTATGTGTGAGTAAGAATTAATGTGAACTTAGTGATGACTGAATGTGGGCAAAGGGAAGAGAGCAAATAAAACATTAAAAGATTAAAGCCTAGAATCCTGGGAAGATGGCTGATAATAGTGAGGAAATCAGGAGAGTATCACTGTGAAGGAAAATGAGCTGAGATTGGTTATGGGCAACACCAGATTGTGTACAATCAGTTTTTCAATAGCAGGCTAGTCTGCCACTCCTGATAGCCTTCTCTCCTTGCTGGTTTAGCTCTGGAAATGCAGACTAGTTTAGTATTAATCTAAGCAAAACAGTTAGAAAAACATCTATTCAGAAGGAAAAAATTGTATACCACATTGCAAAGCCACGTAGAAATAGCTTAGGAATTATTTATTTTGGTTGAGCCACACCACTGCTTCCTAGCCTTAGTGAAGATAATCAAGAATTGACGAGAATAATACTGAAGTGTCTGTATAACATCGCTGTATGATGAGTAGAGATGAAATGTAGATTGTGCGTTAGGGCTATAAATGGTAGTAAAAAAAACACGTGAGGGAGGTTAGTAGTATGATGGAGAAAGAGCTTTGAGGTTTGGGACTTTGGACGTTATAGGCTAGTAGGTAAAGCATTCTGAGAAGAACCAGGAAGTGTATCAGTGCCACAGAAGCCAAGGATAGGAAAGATAGTGTGGTTGACAGTATCTAATGTAGTCTTGAAGTTCAAAAACAATGATCATGATGAAAAGACTATTGAACTAGGACTGGGATGTAATTTGTAACCTTAGAGAGCATTTTGAAAGGAAGGATAAGAATAGATGCCAGATTTGTTTTTCACAGAAGGATTTGTAGAGACATTATGGTCTGGTGTGGTAATTCTTAGTATCTTCTCCAAATGCTTCCTCTGGTCTCATTCTGGTCCACATGTCAGAGCTACTCAAATATCAGAAAACTCACTTTTTTTCTTTAAAAAGGAAAGAAACTTGTGTTCTTTTTTTTTTTTTTTAAAGATTTTATTTATTTATTTTTTCCCCCCAAAGCCCCAGCAGATTGTTGTATGTCATAGTTGCACATCTCTCCAGTCGCTGCACGTGGGACGTGGCCTCAGCGTGGCCAGAGAAGCGGTGCGTCGGTGCGCGCCCGGGATCCGAACCCGGGCTGCCAGCAGCGGAGCGCAAGCACTTAACCGCTAAGCCACGGGGCTGGCCCGAAACTTGTGTTCTAAAGCCAGCGATTTTATACTTTACGGCTCTCACAAACTTTTCTTCTCACTCTTTTTTTAAACAGTTTTATCAGCATATAATTCACATACTATACAGTTCACCCATTTAAAGTATACAATTCAGTGGTTTTTAGTATGTTTACCAAGTTGTGCAGCCATCACCACAGTCATCTTTAGACATTTCATAATCCCCCCCAAAGAAAGTCTGTACCCATTAGCAGTCACTTGCTATTTTCCCCTCCCTCCCAGTCTTAGGCGACCACTAATGTCCTTACCATTTCTGTGGATTTGCCTATTCTGGACATTTCATATAAATGGACTCGTACAACATATGGTCTTCTGTGCCTGGCTTCTTTCACTTAGCATGATGTTTCAAGGGTCATCCGTGTTGTAAA